GGACCATTTAATTTTTTAGGTAAGCAGTGTTGGATCTTTGATATACAATCGAAATAATGATGAACGAATATTGATACTAAGTACGGTTAACAGATAGTTAGACCGAAATGAACCAAGTTTACCTATACTCTAAAAAGTATAAAAACGTTGAAACATTGGAATGAACGCTGAAAGGATTGTTCATGGACAATAAACATGTAGAAGTATAAAAACGTCTCAATTTCATGAGCTTACAACGCTACTTAGAATTATTGTAGCCAGATTTTTATTGTTGAAAATTTTGATTAATATTACATTGCATGTTTAACTAAATGTTCTTAACATCATGTGAATCATATTCATAATGTTTACTTTTCCATTACATGGTATGAACTAACACTCAGTGCTTTCATAGATTAGTACTGTAACTAGTCGAACTAACCTTGATAATTTTTCGATCAACTATTTCCTGTATTACTCCTGTGTGAAAAGTGGTTTGGCCTGCCAAAATTATATTTCTACATTATGTCACTTAATCAGACATTCAGACATTTAGCTAATCCCATAAACAGTATAGATCTATAAATACTAAACATGACTTATGCATGCATACTCAGAATTATATATAATGGAGGTAATGGTATCAATTAAAATGCCATGAGTATTACATGAAGTTCATATTCAGCCACTAACTGCCTGACGGGAGTAATTCCAGTGAATAAGCTTTCAAATGATGAAATCAAACCAAAATAATAGTAGCGAACTAAATATCTAAGAGCTAGTTTCATACACTCTATCCAATTAAGCATTAGGATTTATTGAAGAAAACTTAAGAATTGAATGCTTCCTTCAAATCTTTTCAATTTATAACCAGTGACAGTTTATTTCAAGACCATATATGAAAGTTGACTAGCAATGACAATGATGCTGTAAATCATTGTATTAGTAAAGCCGTCTTATCAGTCTTACTACTACTAAGTAGTATATATTTCATGTATTCATAATATTATCCTTTGAGTGTTCTTTTCCTATTATTGTAATGAACTGTATAATGTATTCAAAGACTTTCCTAAACAATTATCACCAGTGAATAATCTAGATTTAAATGGTTAGCTAACACTGAATAGACAGATTCAAAAAAAGGTTACATTATGTTAACAGATTAGTGGATCTGATCTAGATCTATAGGAAAATTTTCTCTGAGAAAACACCAGTGAGTAGAATCTCCCTAGCAGAGGCAATATACACGTGACGATGTGAGTGCATTTCGAGAGGGAGAGCGGAACTCTTCCCACTCTCGGCCGTACCAGGGCATTTGGGGGCACAAATATCTCCAGTTAATAAGCAAATAAATTCCAACGGTATTTTACATCTATCTGAATAAAGCCTATATAAATATGAAATACATACATGTATAATATCTATTATAAACTTATTATTATTATATCATAAAGACAAGATAGCTTTGTTTATATTTTGTACTTAAATTTTATTAACAAACATTGTTGAGAACGTCTATTGATCGGACTTCATTTTTTTGGAAAACACCTATGAAATAATAAAAAAATAGTCATATGATTCTTGATTAAGATTTTGTCGAAAATTGATTTAGAATTTTTCTAAAGTATAAACAAAAAAATATTCTTGAATGAAGGGAATTCATTTCATTTCGTGTACATTAAGCCGCCTAATTTATATGAACTAATTTTATTTTTATCAATAAAATACTTTACAAATGTGATTCTGTGTGTAATATATACAAGGTTGTAATCAAGTTTACAAGTGGATGATCATTAAAATACCTTTCAACAATCATATAGTTATGATCTAGAGAAGAATGAACTAATAGAAACTTTTTTTTTCTTGTATAATTAATGTTGAATATGTTCCTATTCATTAGTAAGAGGTATCAGTGTTACAGTCCAAGTGACCCGACATTGTGTGAACTATTTTGATGTGTTAGGTGGTTGGTAGGAAACTCTATACCAAGGTTTCGTGGTAGTTGACACTCGTCAATAGGGAAAATGTTATTCCTTATATGGTTTGAACTCGGGTTACCCAACTTCACGATCGGTAACGTGACCACTGAGTACAAGGAGCATCATTCCCCCCCCACGATTGCAGGTATACCTGCAGCCCATTAGAACCTTGTACTAATAATTATCATGTGCTCAATAGTGACTGGCCTCAGGATATAACTCCTGGAGTTCTAGTGAGAAGCCGTGACCAGTGGAATTCAACCGTGTCATATGTGGCAGTTACCCAACGAAGACAATGGAAGATGGTTGCGCGATATTGTATATTGGTTGACATTAGACATAAACACAGTTGGATCAGGGCTAAATGATCTCGAGGTTAAGCATTCGTACGAGGCCGAAGGTCTTGGGTCCGAGTCCCTCATGCGGGGTCGTAGACGTTCGCTGCTGAGGGGTCCAGTGCTTCCTAGTTTCGATCAGTCGACAGTAATTTTATTGTCAATTAAGAGTAAATATGTATAAGCTAAATAATTTCGTATATATAATGAATGTGAAGAATGATTTTCTTCTTAAAAAATGTTTGCATTTTAAGAATAAAAAATGCACCCAAAAATTCATTTGAATCTCGTCTTAATTTATCGATCTCATGATATTTTGGCATTATATACTCTCAACAACAAAGAAAACTGATGTGTTTTTCCATATAAAAACAAATTGATCGATTATGTCCTGTCAGTTTACTATCATATTTTGATTATTACCACTAATTAACAAATGAAATGACGCCAATTCATATATATATATGTAGTATGATATTAGTGACAGCTTACTGAATGACAATACATTGTTTTTTATTCGAAGTAAAATAAACTACTGAATAATTACACCGAACTTCCTCTTTATATTTTTGGCATCCACTAACTTACGCATCATCGTCTGTAAACCTTGGCTATATAATAAATCAATATGATTAGTGAACATTAGGGGTCGTCTAAATGTAACGATTCACTTTGTTTGTTTGGTATTCCAGACTGATTCAGGATGCAGCTAAATATGTAATAAAAATCTGACCTTAGCAAACATATGAATTTATGTTTTAAGCTCCAACCTGTAGTTATTGTCTACCGGTTACTTATACTGCATGGCTGTTCGAATCTCAGAAATCTGATTGAAGATAAATCCCTTGAACAAATGAGAAATATTTAGTTACAAGAAATAAGAGGGACTTAAATTTGTCATTGAGAATAGCTGGTAAATATCTCATTGAGTGTATGTAAACAATTTGTTATATTGATTTGATGACTATTCAAATTATTATATTTGGACATTGTTGTTTCCAATAATTTTTTCTTATCTAGATACCATTCTTTAATTCAGCACTATTACTTGATAACCATTATGAATTTACTTTTACAGCTCGTGATAGCCATAATGACTAAAAATAATTTCGTTTAATAGTTTAAATCAGACTATGGGTAGTAACATGAACTTAGTTACTCAGTGATTGCAGAATATTTGAGTATTGGTGTAAAAACAGGAATGACTAGCCAATTAGATTAACCCTTAAATTTTATCTCTTGATTCTCATGTTGAAGCTGATGGGGATCAAACGCGTGACGTCTCCTGTATACTAGATCTCATAACACTATACAACTTACCTTTTATGCCACAGATAATACGTAATTAAGGATATATTTTCTCAACATTTTTTAGTGTATGCATAATGCTTCAATCAGTATATGATCATTAGCGTAGAAATGAATTAACACAAATCCAGTCAGTAGTCAGCTTTCTAAATGTTTGCGGAAAACAAAAAAACAAGGTAGACTTATGCACCAACACGTTTGAGAGGGAACTTTACTTCTCTTGAGGTAACGGGCTTGTCGTAAATGGGTAAATCAATTGAGATAGGGAACTTCAGAGGTTATTCACCGATTAATTAGAAGCCTTCTGTGTCACCATCTTTCAAAATTTTCATTTATTGCGATTGACTATCCTGTTCTAGATTTATCGTAATTAATTAATTTTGTTCGTCAATCACGTATACTTGAATATTTCATAAAATATCTACAACCTATTGGGAATCTGATTACTAAGAAACTCAAGAAGTGCTGTGATATGCACTACTTATACGGACAGATATAAGTAGTATGTAGAGGAATTGGAATGCTCACCAGTAGATAGAAATGAAGAGGAAAGAAAACAGAAAGCAATCGGAAGAACAACAGGATTAGAAGAACGATGGAGCATGTAAAGGGAAACTCAAGGAAAATGTGCAAATAATGTATTTAGGGTATGATTCCCATATTTCATAAAGGTATCATGTGTTGTTGATTAAACAGTAAATTGGTTTACCGTAGCTGAGTTTTCCCTCATTATAGTGCTACCACGATGATTCGAAAATCATCCTCTTATTCTTTTCTGTTTTTCAGTGATGAAATCAGCTGAATTTGACAACATACGCAGATGTTGTGGAAACAATACTGATCACAAACATTCATGGATGAGTGAGAATGTTAGTTGATCATTGTTTGAATATTCGTAATTCATATAAGCAATCATGCCAGCTTTCAATCATTAGGTTACAGATTCAAATAGTGCCTGCTACATCTAATCCGGGTTGGGTATTCGGATGCTAAAACCGACCTTTATGTTTTAAAGCTGAGTGCAAAAGCTTATGGATTGACACATGAATTAGTTTTTTGTTAATTATCCATTAAAGAAATATTAAGAACAACAGTGCACCAATTCACAAGTTCTAGTGTTGAATCTGTATGTGGTAGCGATCATGCACATGCCCAATAATAAGAACCTACAAACTAAACTGATACAATTATTCTTTAGAATTTAAGTGTTTCAGAAGAAGCAAGTTGGAGGATCCAAATCAATATAAAATTAAATAGATCCTAAATAAAAGCGCCCCATTTAGAATTATTACTATAACAGGAAAGCACAATTCATTTATCAATCGGTAAGTTTACGCACTCTGCTTTAAAACATAAAGGCCGGTTTAAGCATTCGAATATCCAACCCGGATTAAATGTAGCAGACACTATTCGAGTCTGTGACCTAATGATTGAAATCTGGCATGAATGGATACATGAATAACAAAGCAGTTTTTTGACCTGTTAAAAAACAAACCGAACCGTAAGAGAAAATCATTTTTATTTGTAACGTTAACACCATTTATCTCCAATGTATAGTTGATCTGGAATATAACAACAAGAGTAAGGGTAAATTAATCGCATAACAATAATAGTAAAGAAGACAATATGGTGTAAGAGGAAGAAAGTAGGTTCGATTTTTATTAAAAACACAAGGTGTGTTACAGTGGAGGAGAAAAACAAACAGATTTGTTTACATTACATTTGGCGCATATATACTTGTCATACATCAAATAAGATAGCTAATGAAAAAGCCACTACTACTAATTTGAGTGTTATAATTCTGATTAGAATAAGCAATATTTTGTGTTTGTCATTAGTGAATAGATCACAAGGAAGAAAAAGAATTGTGCACAATAGTACATTAAATCAATTTCTTTTAATTAGGTATCTCGAACTGGAACATTGTACTGGCAATAAGCATGAGTAATAATGTTACGGTTTAATCAAATATAATTATGTGATCATTTAACATTTTAAAAAAATTAATGTTACGTACATAAATAAAACGCAATTTGGTCCATATATGTTTTAGATAGAAAGATCTTTTACCGAATGTAATTTGTAAAAAAAATCATTTGACTAAAGACATAAGAAAGAACGTGATAGAAAGAGGAAAACAATTAATAATCTCACCAGCCATTACCATCATTGACATTGTTGTCATGGCTGTCACACCACGGTTAGCAGAAATGATAGCTAACGATACATGGAAGATGACAAAAGCGAGCGAAACTAAAGAACAGGAAGATGCAATCACCAATAATAATAATAATAATAATAATAATAATAATAATAATAATAATAATAATAATAATAATAATAATAATATGAGATCATTTTCACCCAATAACTTTTGTTTTCGATAAAAAATAAAACAATATGTTATATGACAAGACCGTATTGGATTCAAGCATGTATTAAATTAATAATGTAAATAGAGAAATGAATATAAGTCGACAGGGAAAGAGAAAAAAGTTGAGAAAAATTCGGGACCTATTCAATGAAATGAGAGCGAGAAACATCTAAACACAGAGAAAGAAACAGCTTGTCAATGCGGATAAATGATGATAAGGATAATGAGGAGAAAGAATATGCATGCAATGTATACACAGGTAGTCCTCTGATAAAAGATAAAATAAGCACAACGAGTAGGGCGATCAAGTTGTAGAGGAGGATAGAAAAACAGCAAATGAGATAAATACACAAATATATGCGACCGCAACAAAATAGATAATAACAGAAGAAATGCATATAATGGATATTTTGTGTAAAATACACTCACACTATGTGAAAATGTTATCAAGTTCTTAAAACAAAGCATGATGGATAAAAACTTAAATCGAAGCAAAAGGAAAACAAGAAAATTAAGATCACAGCATTAATACACAAGAAGAATCTATCGCTTTTTTCGAAAACTGTTGAAACTTTTACTGAAGAAAAACAAAATTTAATAGTAATCTGCATCCATCACCCTTTATTGTTATCATTGTCATATGCTGTTTTGATTTATAATGGAGAAAATAATCAACACAGCACCTAGAAAAAAGAAGTATTTCTTGTGTATGTAAGAAGGAATGCGAATACATGGGCACTGACCTACTATTTTTAGAAATAATATTGTTCACTTATAGCCCTGCCAAAATTAAGAATTCAACAAATTACACTTTGTTATATAATGTAAATTATCTGAAACTAGACATTTTGAAAATGTTATGAAGTGTTTTGCATTGAGTAAAGAAAGTTAGTGAGAGAGACAAGAGATAATAATGAGGAAGAATCTAATTATCATTGATCATTAACGAGGCAGATTTATATCCCCACTCTTTTTGTTGATAGAAAAAAATATATATGTTATATACAACAATTATTATTATCATATGGTTGATTTAATTAATGAACAGATGATGCATTTGGATTAGGAATATCATCACCACCCCCATTAGCAATTAGAAATGGATTACTAATGCCTCGTCCACTTGATGCATTCGATACACCAGCTGTAGCTCTATCCACCCAACCTAAATCGAATGGATCCGAAAGACAATCAGGTTCTGGAGGTAGAAGAGCAGGTGGCAATGACGATGGTGATGAAGGTTGCCAGTTTGCATTACTAACGTTTCTTCCATCAACCAATCCGATTGATGATGACCATGGGTTTGTGGAACCTAGAGAAACAAATGAAATAAGTGTAAGGAGACAAGAGAAAAATATCGAAAGTAATGGGATAAAATAAATGATTAAAGAGTAGTGAAGATAAGTAGGTAATAACAATGAAAATTAATAATGATAATAATAACACATGAATTGAAACAGCATTCATCAACTATAATTTAACAACTTCACAACCACCTGATTTTAAAACACCATTGGAAGGATAAGTTAGATTTGTTTGAGAATTCACTGTACCAGTAGGAGAACTTGGTAAATTTGAACTATTCTGAATAATAGATTTGTTAAATTGTTGCATCTGTGGATATGTGACTGTCCATGGACTAGAATTAAAAGTATTAGTCGACACAGTTGGAGCAGCAATTGGTGGTCCGCCTAAAAATGGTGAAGTTGGTGTAGAACTGATAGTTGAAACAACAGCCGTTGGAGCCTAAAAGTACAATTATTATTATCATTATTACATGCAAAGAACATAAAAATGTATTTACAATGATAAACCAATAAACTTTATCTACAAAATAACTAAAACTCATTAAAATGATGCACATACTGAAAATTGTAAGTTAACCGTAGTATCCTCCTGACTTCCGGTTTCGTTCCGAACAATTCATAAAAATGGCACAGAATTTAACAATACCATAATGATTTAACTAATTTATGGCCGGATTTTACTGTACCTAAATATATTGGTGAAATGTACAATAATTATGATAATAATAGTAATGATATGTTTTAACCAAGTACGAATCAATAAAATCACGAGTTCCTATTCAGATTAGTTTGTGAAATCAGTATAGACAAATACATATAAAAATCCTTTCTATATATCCGATGAGTATTTGACTTCAGTATTGCTGAACAATAATTTATAAATATGGGGTCATCTGACATTATTTAAGCCATTCAGATATATATTGGAGATATATGAGTGAGTTGGTAATTGCCCGTGACTTTCCTTGCATTCATCAAAGAATTACTTAAATAATAGTTTAATCACTTCAATTTATATTGTTAAATCATCTATTGAACTGGAACGACCTCTCTACAAACGACTGGCATAAAACGTGAAATAAACGCTTTTTCATGTTCCTTCATAGTGGTCACAACTGCCAAATTGTGAATAATTCTCAGTTAAATTATCTAAAATAACAAACAGTAAATTTCTTACTATTTTGCCTACTAATACCACATCTAATCCACACAAGCAAATAAACAATGTCTTTATGGAGTTTTACCTTGGTCGCTTTACTCTGAGTATATTTACAAAGGAAGTCAAAGAGCAAACATATTCAATATACATTCAAACCGTCCCAGTTAGCAAATACTAAAAAATTTACTTCGTTGGAGATCTAAACATAACTAGTATGACACATTCAGTGATTTAATGGTAAATGTAAGACGTTGAAAAATTATCAACTGTTAAGTACCTACTGACTTGACATTTTTGTTTACTTTGAAACATAGAAACCACTAAACGATGCACGATAAAAACCAACAAGATTACACACTAAAACTATGATACGTAAATACTTCTATCAATGGCGAAAATTCGGTACGATGTCAAGTGTGAATAAACGTGTTCATGTTTTCTTTATTGGTCACCTACTTGAAAAGATTGATGAAACAATCCAAATAATAAGTCAACTAATAAATTATTCCAGGTCAAACAACTTCCTGCTGATAAACAATAACATGTTTGTTTATGACACCTAAAAAATATCGTTTTACGTTTGATATTTATGAAAAAGTATGACAAAGATTCCTAAGTTTTCATTATATTGACTCCAACTAACAAGAAAATATCATTTACGTATTCTAAGCCAGTTAAGTGAAACTAAAATTATGAATGAATGCATAGTGAAGAGATAAAATATTGTTATGTAGTAAACTACACTTGCTTTGGAACTTAGTAGCGAAGAACCTGTGATTTGCTGGTGTTGTTGTTGGGCTGTCTGTTGTTGCAATTCCATCTGATAGTGCCGTTGTATTGTAGCTGGATTGATTGGAGCAGCAGAAAAAGGATCCGAAATAATTGGAGGTATAAATGCCTGTGATGTTCTAAGATCAAGATTGAAATCACTTTTAAACTGGCTACTAGGTACAAATGATTGAGTTACTACAGTTAGACCATTCATAATTGAAAGGTTCGAAGATGAACTGGCCACTACTATGGGTGGGCTACAATTAGACGTAGAACATACAGTAACTAATTCGTTTTTTTCAGGTCGCCCATTATTTTTAGCACATACTCCTAGTTTCGTTGGTTCAAATTCTGTATCTGGTTCCTCCGCTATGGGTGCGCCTTGAAAATAGATAAAAAGGAACAAAATAAAGATGTTAGAAATAGTCTATGTAACATAACTCTTCAATCCGTAAAATACTAAATAAATAGTATATCTCCAACTGAACTGTATAATCTCAATGGGAAAAATACTTTAAAAAAACCAGCACAAATGCGAATTAACGGCTAGACACTACAATACCACTGAATAGTTTAAGTGTTGAATGGATAGTTCCACCAACCAACGACTACTTAACCCGTTTAGATATTACGGAAATTAAGTAATTTAACGTATATGGAAGCTAACTAGAACATAGCGTTATGATGAGATAAATAATTAATATAATACTCATCGACCAATTATTTGTTTTAACTAATTTGTCAACTATAGCTTTATCCACTCTGTTTTGAGTTAGTTTCTGAGTCTGGGAGAGAAAATAATCGGAGTTATGGCAAGTATTCAATGGATCTTATATAATGATGACTAATCAAAACGTTTATAAACCAAGTTCAATATTGAAGTACTCAGAATGTACCTAAAGTGAAAAGCGGTATGTTAATCTTTGATTGAACATCCCATTAATCAAACTGAACCAAGATAATACAGTCAAAGGTGTTTATAATTGTCACCGGATCTTACAAAGATACCACATACATTGATTAATCGAATTCAGTAACTAAGTATAGGTTTATGCACAGTTCTAAGTCATGCTTTTTGAGAGATTATAAGTGATACTACTTGATCTCTTAAACCAAAGTAGGCATAGCTTGGGATCTGAACCTATCACACTATCAATACATAACAAGTGTATTAACAACTACATCACTGCTGTAAAAATTTATATTACTATAGTATTATAACCATTTTTACATAAGTAGAACCACAGCTGTGATGATTATTAAGCAGTTCGTTATTTTTAAATTCATGATTAATAAGTCCTCAAACTTTTTTTCGCAAACCGCCTAACAATTAATCAGATAATTTCCTAACATTAAAATTGATAAAACAAATGCTTCTTTGAATTTTGCCCCCTGAATGCCCTGGTACGGCCGAGAGTGGGGAGAGTCCGCTCTCCCTCTCGAAATACTCTCACACGGCCACGCGTATATAGCCTCTGCCAGGGAAGTCCTACTCATTGCCTTCTCGTGGCGGGGGTGTTGTTTACGAAAATGAGAGGACGAGAAGCGAATGTCCGGCGCTTTAACCGGATTCCAAACCAATGGTGCACATGGGCTCCAGTATCCTGCGGGAACGAATGGCGTATGAACCAATCGTTGGTCACCGGCTACCATGGGACTGCATCTCCTTACGATGCTCCACTGCCTTGTGGGTTAGACCTTTAGGTCAAAGGCTCGGGGAGTGGCCCCCTAAGATAACCACCTGCTTCGGTTTGGGCACCCGGGCAGTATCACAGCCCACACACAAATGATGAACTCTATGTCTATGGAAACTACTTTTGTCGCTTTGAAAAACAATCAATTGATTCAAATTATGATCACTTCAATTATTGTCATTATTAATACTAATATTATTATTACTACTATTATTGTCATTATTGCTATTATTATCATTATTATTATTATTTTCCACATTATTCACCTTCTTTTATACTTATACAGCGGCTCGTCTTTGGTGGAATTCCGACTGTATCTAAACGTTCTCGAGTCACTGTCCGGTTGAAAATTGTATGTTACCACCGAATACGAGGACTGAAGCAGATTTTCTGAAACCACGTGCATCATTCAAACTGGCTGCCTTCAACGTTCGCACATTTATGCAGGTCGGACAACAGATAGGGCTGGCTATGTCTTTGGAAAGTCTTAATATCGACGTGTGTTGTCTATCCGAGACCCGTATTCAAGACTCTGGCGAAGTACTACAAATTCGATCTCCATCTGTCGCTTCGAAAAGCTTGTTTTACGTGCGCTTATCCGGGGACCCTGTGGCATCTTCGTCTGGTTTTGCTGGCGTTGGTGTCGCACTAAGCGCTAGAGCTGAGGCAGCACTAGTCGATTGGATCCCCATTAACAGTCGGTTATGTGCTGTTAGATTAGAAAGTTCCATCAAAGTGAGAAGAAATCGGCGTGAGAAACGATGTCTTTTCGTCATCTCCGCCTATGCCCCGACAGATTGCAGCCCGGATGCAATCAAGGATGAGTTTTACCACCAGTTATCAGTTCTTCTCCAGAAAGTGCGTTCGACAGATATCGCAGTATTAGCCGGAGATTTGAATGCTCAGGTCGGACGTCTAGGCACAACAGAGAGTCGTCTAGGTGGCCAATGGGGACTCGTTGGTCGCAGGTCAGATAACGGGGACCGTCTACTGCAACTTTGCGCAGACCACAACCTGTTTCTGGCTAGCACTAACTTTCGGCACAGTCATCGCCGATGTGCCACCTGGCGTCCTCCCTCTGCATCTCAAGCCTGGACTCAGATTGATCACATCGCGATCAGCTACCGCTGGCGTGGTTGTGTACAAGACTGCCGCTCCTTTTGGAGTACCTATCTGGACTCTGACCATGCCTTGGTCTGCGCCAATCTTGCCTTACTTTTCAGTGGACAACGAAGTGAACGCCATCAACGGATTGATGTTTGCAAGCTGGTTGCAACTTCTGTTGCAAGTAAGTATCGAACCGAGCTAGCCTCTAGGCTAGCTACCACTCCACCGAAAAGTATAGATGAGCATTGGTTGCAATTGCATGACGCCATGAAAATGGCGGGAACAGTCAGTTGTGGGTTTGCGAAACGTCCCGCTTTTAAGCACTGGGTTTCTTCTGGTTCCTTACAACTCATTGAAGCCCGTCGGTCTACTCCGGGTAACCGTGAGTTTGACCATAAACGAAGGTTTTTACGTAAGGAAATCGGGCAAAGCTTGCGTAAGGACCGAGAAGCCTGGTGGTCGATGCGTGCTAATGAGCTGGAAGCAGCAGCTGCATCTGGTAACTACCGGAAGCTCTTCCAACTCATCCGAGCCACTGGCAGCAAGAAGTCTGGTGTGAGTGAAACAATCTGCGAGGATGATGGGATGCCAATCACAAACATCCATCGACGTCTTGGACGATGGGCAGAATTTTTCGAAGGGCAGTTCAACTGGCCTGCTGCTCCGGTAACATCGGTCAGACTGTCCTGCCCTCCATGGCCGGTGACGACTGATCCACCAAATGAGGAGGAAGTCCACAAGGAACTCCAAATCTTGAAGCGTTACAAATCACCTGGCCCAGATGATTTACCTCCGGCTCTTTTTAAAGATGGTGGTGACTTTTTGACTAAGGAATTGACGACGTTGTTCACAAAGGTTTGGGAACTAGAGAGTGTGCCAACGTCATGGAATGAGTCGATAGTTGTCCCTATCTTTAAAAAGGGTTCACGTCGTTCTTGTAACAACTATCGGGGGATAAGTTTACTTCCGATTGCGTCCAAGCTATTGGCTTCCGTCATACTTCGTAGGTTGTTCAAAACCCGAGAAAGATTGACTCGCGAGGAGCAGGCTGGGTTTCGTTCTGGTCGAGGATGTACTGATCATATCTTCACCCTCCGCCAAATGTTAGAACACCGCCATACTTTTCAAAGGCCAACAATCGTAGTGTTTCTTGACATCAGGGCTGCCTTCGATTCGTTGGATAGGACTGTTCTCTGGGATTGTCTATTGAAGAAGGGTGTGCCTGAGAAGTTTATTAACATCCTAAAAGCCCTGTATAAAAACACCTCAGGCAGAGTGAGGGCATACAACCACCTCTCTCCATTGTTCCATTCGAGCAGTGGGGTTAGGCAGGGTTGCCCAATCTCACCATTCCTCTTCAACTTTGCCATCGATGACATTCTGGAAACAGCTCTGATGAATGTAAGTAATGGTGGTGTGGATCTGTTGCCTGGAGAAAGACTTCTCGACCTTGAGTATGCGGACGATATTGTCTTACTGTGCGATAATGCCCAAGGCATGCAATCCGCACTTAATCAGTTGGCAATCAGTGTCCGTAGGTATGGTATGTGCTTTGCACCTTCGAAGTGCAAAGTACTTCTACAAGACTGGCAGGATCCCAATCCTGTACTCACCCTGGATGGTGAGCAGATAGACGTAGTTGAGAAGTTCGTGTATCTGGGTAGCTGCATAAGTGCTGGTGGGGGTGTGAGTGATGAGATCAATGCACGAATAGTGAAAGCCAGAGCGGCTTATGCCAATCTGGGCCACCTTTGGCGCCTTCGTGATGTCAGTCTGGCTGTAAAAGGCCGGATCTACAACGCGTCGGTGAGAGCAGTTTTGCTCTATGCTTGTGAAACCTGGCCTCTCCGAGTTGAGGACGTTAGACGACTCTCTGTGTTTGATCATCGCTGTCTCCGAAGGATTGCTGACATTCAGTGGCAACACCATGTTAGTAATGCAGAGGTTCGGCATCGTGTGTTCGGGCACAGAGATGATAACTCAATTGGTGTCACCATCTTGAAACACCGACTTCGGTGGCTTGGACATGTTCTCCGAATGTCGTCCCAGAGAATTCCACGTCGTGCATTATTTGCCGACTCTGGGACTGGTTGGAAGAAGCGGAGAGGTGGTCAGTGCATGACATGGTGTCGTGGCATGAAAGAAAGCTGCAAAGGACTGGCTTGTGTTGGTCCTTCACGACTCCCTGGCTGGGGTCCGAGAGATGGTGCAACACAGTGGCTAGAGACGTTATCAGATATGGCTCAGAATAGAAGCCAGTGGCGATCCTGCTGTAACCTTCTTTTACTTTCTTCATAAAAAGTGGTTGTGTCTCCTTTACCTGAAAGATTTCTTCTGATTGTACCTCTTCGTCATTACTCTCTTTTTCTTTTGCGTTCCTTAGTTTTTTTTTTTTCTTTCTACTTCTCTTCGAATTCCCATTGTTTTGTGTGGCGCATATATATTGGCGCTCTCTTGTACCAATATTTATGTGTTCAAATAAATAAATAATAAATAAATCTTTGAATTTTCTCGGTACGGCGATGAACAATGTGATGATAACTCTTGCAGTGAGCTCAATAATCACATACATAAATATCTTACAAAGTAGAAAATACTGATACATACCAACCCTGTATATATTTAAATAAGACATCTTGGCTACAGCAGTACTTCCTCACAACCAATCCCAATAGCATGTTTTCGTGTAGTGACAGGAAATCGTTAACTTACAAATTAATAAACGCGCTTGTGCATGACCGCTAACGAAAATCGTAGCATTATACCAAATGCATGCACATTAACTAGATATTGATGTACTTGACAAAGTTAAATACTGACCCACAAAAAAGCCTTGTAGTTTTCAAAGTGTAGCGGATTTCACATTCAAATATTACTGTGATAACGATAGAATTCAACGTTAAATTCGCATCTTATAGAATTCTTTAGTGACAAATATCACAGATACCGGGGTAGATAAACCACTCTGAAGAAGTGGCTTACACCAAGTCACGAAACGTCAGAAATACAATTTTATACTCATTGGGAATATGTAAAAAAATATATTTACTATTATCATAAAATCATCAGTAATCGAACAACTCATAAACTATCTAGTGAATTGCTTAATAATTGATAATATAAATTATATACCGCAACTGAGTAATAATTGTTCATGACAAGTATCTGTTGTCTTGCTTCTTCCATTTGCTGACGATAATTACAAGAAAACTACACACAGAGGCGATTGCATCAGTTTCATTTAGTGGAATATAAACCGCTTACTGTTTGCTATAAGGTCAGTGAGTGAAACTTATACAGTGTAAAACCGATTAGGATTAAATAGTATCCAAGAGTTGACGAGTATCCAATTGATCTATGTAGTTGGTAATCAGTCTGTTCATTATCACAAAATATCATCTTGCTATTGTAGGAGAAATCTTGTTCCATTTAGAAAAATCCAGATATTCACAAGAAGTTGTCTACCACAAACAAAATAACATATGAAACTTCTTAAAATGACATAATTAATCTGAGTGAAGTTACATAACCTGTAATATCACTTTACGGTTTATTAAATGTCTTAAAACGCTTTATTTAAATGATACATTTACTATACAAGTATAATGGCATTAACTATCTTTTGAAAAAATTAAGTCCTTTATGGGTTCAAGCTAGAAAAAAAGTATTTCAACTTTAATGAATGGAATGCTATGTGCATAATGACATTTATAAAGAACATTAATAAATTATAGTACAAACAATATGATCAATAAGAAAGGTTGTATAAATCATTTACACCTACTTTGAATTATTCCGGTCAAACGGCGTACATTTGAAGGAACTCCTTCAAGACGTAATGAAAGATCTCTTTTGAAAGGACTATTCTCTTGTAATTTTGGAAATATTCTTAGCGAACCCTGATTAGAAAGGGAAAGTAAATTCTAAAATTTAACAATTCACTTGCATAAAAACTTAGTTCTCAGAAGAAAATATGACTTACAATACGAAGAAATCTCTAGTTAAATTCTGTTCTAAATGTTTAAAAACGTTAGAATCATTCATTTTAAATTTATCATTAATTTGGATTATGATTGACAGTGGAGCCTAAGACACATGATTCATCCTATGTAGGACTTGTCAGTTGAATGTACCTGCATCCCACTAATATATACACTGAAACTCCAACACAGTACTTATCGCTTCACGTCAGTCAGTCAGCAACTGACGCTTCAAACGCCATTATGGTATCGGATAAACTATTAAGTCCAAATAATTGTTTAAAGAAATAATTAACTTGGAATTTCAGATGATACCAAGGCATTTTCTCAGATAGAACATACATCTACATATACTGAAGAAATTTAAGTCCTTAACATCAACAACGATGAAATGTGAACCCTTACGAATATCCATAATAATACTCATGGTACTGATACTAATAATACCAATACTAATACTAATAATACTAATGCCAATAATACTAATAGTAATAATACTAATGCTAATACTAATAATGCTAATACTGATAGTACTAATACTAATGATACTAATACTATTACTAATAATGATAATAATGACCGTAATTATACTTATTGACCAAATTAATTATCGTTATTTCACAGCTTTGTAGATAGAACATCAACGTTTAACACGACAGGTCCTGAACTTGAGTCTTAGTATGAACATCAACACTAGGCATAAACGTACACACAGACATTAAGTCCCAAATACAAAGAAAAGTGCCTATTCGATTTTACTGTTATCCGTAATTTAAAGTATTTACGATATTATAAACACCGGAAGTTTGTTTGAAAATCCTTTTAGAAATACATGACCATATTTAAAATATTTCTTTGTTTTTCAAATATGAACAGTGTTTTGCACCTAAGAAAATAGAGATCAAACACCAAGTCTATGATTTGTACGAGTTCAGTATGGCCTAACGATATACAGGATGACAGTACTCTAAATATTTATAAGGCACGTATACAACAACTATTTAGAGTACAGATAACTTCTCAAGGAACGACCTTGGAAAATAGAGAAAAGTAACATCAAAAGATAAGGTGTCCAAACAAGAGAAGAAAAAAGTTCATCAGAAAGAACATGAATCTGGAAGGCAAGGAGCAACTTTGACTTGCAGAAATAAGTAATTTAAGTATAAACCAAAGAAAAACATAAATTACGAAGTGTTCCTAGAAACACTTGATCTTGTATGAGGTTGTTGATGCACACTGTATACGAGACCTATCTTAGAACTGAGTATTCGACACTCCCCCAACTGATGTCACTTCGTGATGAAAAACACACTCGAAATTAGAAAGAATATTTACAAAACTACTTAATTTCATGATGAAGATGTAGAACAAAATAGGGAAGTAAATACGATGACAAATAATAGTAGTAATTAGATGGAAATGTGAAATAGGATAATCAAAAATAAATTAATTTTTGTCATCGACTTTTTTAACCTATGTTGCATGTTTATTACGGACAACAGAAAAAGTTGTTGAAAATTAATCCATTAACTAATAACCGAAATAATCTATTTACAAGTCCTTCCCTAGCTGACATCTGTACATTGTTTCTTTGCAATTAGTCAGTAGTCACTAAGCAATCATCGTTTGTATAGTCTTTGTTAAACTTACTCCATATCTTGACATTTTTGTTGCTAAATCCAATGAATAGTCTGACTCGCATAATAACTTAAATACGGTGTGCAGTTATCAAAATGACGCGTTTTGATGTTGATAAAATATTGAATAAAACAAACAAAAAGTACCTACTTGTCGCTCAATAATTGATGGACTAGCATGGGGTCGTGGGATAGCTCCAATATGGTTAACTGGTGAAGACACCCGAGTTATAGTGGTAGGTAATGTTGAAGATATATTATTAGGTTTTGGCACTGGGTCGACTACAATCGTAGACTGAGGATCCAGTAGCCGTTCAGCGAGAGTAGCCTTTCATAGAATGGGAAGAATTTATCATACGTTGTTAAAAACAAACAGAAATAAAATATCACAATGGAACATAAAGAACTACAACGATTATAATCGTGAATTAATAGATAGACAGTTTGACTGACGCCATCGACGAATCACTCATTCTCATTCAAAAGCTATAATCGCTGTTCATAACCAAGTTAATACATAGTTATATGCCTTATCAAAGTAATTTCTAGTCGTATTCCTACTTTTTAATATGACATAAAGTACACAGCATTGAAACATAAACTGGTTAAAATTGATGAATTCCAACATATGCAGCTCAAATTAATCAACAATGGTGCAAATATATTCATTTTTTATATTCCTAAAGGGACTTCATGCACTTTTGTCTCATGTTTTCCTCGCCGTATAATCATTTCCAAGTCGCTTATTTTCTTTATTAATATGCTAAATGAAACGGAATATGGATTAAAGGCAATAGCAACCAAGACAGAGCCACAAGGGTTTGAACCATAGACCTTCGGTCTCGTGCATTAATGCTTAGCCCTACTTGTAGGTTTTGTTCTAGATTATTACCTAGAAACTATTTACTGTGTTGCCACATCGAAAACATGTTTGCCACTATGAGATACAGTCTGATGTTAGATGGTTGGATGCAATCAACAAGAAGTCGTAAAACTGAGTTTCATGTTGGTTGACACTCATCAGGGTAAAAAAGGAAATAAGAGAGAATCGATACTTCCACAGAGATTTGACTTCTCGTTGACTAGTTTTGCAATCAGAAACATTACCATGACTGAGCTATTCGGGTTGTGACTGACTTCCTGTAGGATTAAGATATTTTTATTAAATTACTTATAGGGTTTATAGGATGATAATTTTAACACAGAAGCATCTATCTGGGATTTTTTTTATAAACGATCCAAACTGGAAAAATATTAGTAGTAAGGATGTTTCACTATGATATACTTAAATGTATATGACTTTTATACAGGATTTTAGGCATCAATGTAAAATCACAACATTATTCACTAACTCCAAACTTATCCGGAACTGAGTATTCATAAGTTGGTAAGTATCTCTCATAGAATAACGCACTACAGGTAATTTTTTACCAAACAAGATACTCTGATTAATCCATGCACATTTCATTTACGGATACTTGTATGTCCCACAATATTGTCATTTCGATTTGTGCTGAACATTTTGGTATGTCAAGTAATAAAACAAAGTTACATGATAAAGTTTGTACTTGATGTGAGGACAAATACAATATTTATTCGAGGTATTCATGAAATACAACTCACTAGATATTTCCGAATAACCTTGTTTTTCCTACCTTTGGTGTACAGCACTTACGCTTAGCAGTACTGGGGTAAATTCAACGTATTGAGTAAAGAAAATGTGAAATTGTAACCTTCAGACTACCTAACTAGAAACCTATGAGAGTTTTGAACCTAGGGTATACAGCGGAGAGCGTGAACATAAACGAACTTTAAAATGGATACAAACAGAAAAGTATTAGTAGCTACTGATCGCTTGGATGTTAAAGATGGGACCAGGAAACCGTCGCTACTCAAAAATTTCCGCAGCTCTTAAGAGCAATAGACTGTCTTTACGGATATCAATTTATGGGCTTATTGCCTACTTGACATAAATACTGCAACTGAAGTGACAAATTGAAACATTTCCAGTGTTCGACAGTAAGTCGAAAATTAGATTATATAGACGAATTAAACTAAAAAATAGGGTTATGATTCTGTTACTTTAAAGTGATTAAGATGTAAGTTTCATTGACATACCGGACGAAACGATCCAACACGAGCGAAAGTTGGACGATCATCTGAAGCCTCCAACTGAAGAGCATCTCGTTCACGTCTTTGTTTCTTCTCCAAACATATAGCGAAAGCACATCCGACAGCATGAGACAACCGTTCACCCTGTATTCAGGCAGGAATTTGAAAATTTACTGAGTAAAATGTTTTAAGTTGAGCTTTAGCAGAAATTTAATCGAGGAAAGTATATACTTAGTCATTAAATTACACTATAAAATATCTCATGCCACTAGACACTTACAAATCATGTGTGTGTTACCGACAAAACCGACTATTACTTTCTGATATTGCTATATTTGAAAAGATTACGAGTCCACCTAATCTGAGAACGGAACGAAGACTCTGTGACACAATGACAGATAAGATAGCTATTCTGACGCGTCTCAGCCCCAGCTAACTAGAGAGAGACGTCCAAGTTTGGAAGAGGAAAATTTATCCCACAAGCAGCCAGAAGCACGAACAACCACAACAAGTCTAGTCGGATATACACTCGTTTATATGTTGATTCATGCACCAATTTTTGATTAATAATTAGAATAAAACCACATATATGAAAAATAATTATAACAAATATGCTCAGTATAGTTCATGTCAACTTAATACAAGAATATCGTATGTTATGCAGAATAAAATGTCATACAGGTAAACAAAACAAATATTACACTGAGTAATCATCACATTGAACTAAAACGGAATTAATGATGAACAAAAGTTACAATAAGTAAATCAATCTAGTTTCGACTTTTCATCCCGTCATATCAGATATCAGCAGTGACTGGAAATCAGCACCTCGCGACCCGAGCCAATACAATCGGAAACATCACACAAACTGATACCACGTATTAGTCTGGTAGGCCTCAGTCACATCTCAAATCACTTTTGTTCTACCCACCACTGTCCATCGTGGTTGCCGGGCGTAAGTAACGTGATCTAAAGATGATAGAATCATTAATGATTGTAACAACTGATAACGGTGATATGGTGTGAACTCGATAGTAGTGGCACAGTTGCATCAATCCTTTATCTTCATCTAAATATTATGTGATATTTTAAACTCTTCATTGCTTGATTTCACCGGTTTATTTGTTACTGCATTTTCTACATTAAGAGTGTAAATGCAGTTTACATCACTTCCTTTTCTTTGTTGCTCATCTTAACAACTTCCTTGATCGTTGCACCGATGTGGTAACTAGTCCCGATCGAAGCTGCTACCTTGACGCGGTGGTCGGGCTTGCCTATCGTGATGACCCAACCGAGCTATATTGGCTGGAACATATGTTCCTGCAGGTTCTACCATGCCAGGCAGGTCGATTGGTGAACGGTAAGACTAAAAGCAGCAACTCAAGGTCTGAGGGCGAAGTCGTACTGCTGACTGTAGAGAGGTGTGACAGCAGTAAGGTGTTTCCCTCGGACAACCAGCATGACAGCGATGCTGCCTTCCCACAAGGAGGGGTGGGGTTAGAAAAGGTCGACCCTAAAAATGTCACACCTCACCTTACCTCACGGATTTCCGTCCCCGGCGGTAAGGCCCCTTGAAGAACGGAGCTAACACGTCAAAAACCTTCCACAAAAAGGCCGTGCGCGACCGGCCTCAAGCAGTTGTCCCTTGGGCTCTGCGGTCACGCTCCCAGGTCGTCAAGACCAACACTAATCCAATTTCCTTTTCAGGTTCCTCAAGAAATACCCTTCCACGGTGTGGGCAGCCGGGAAGTGACATCAGCCCTCATACCCGTAACAGCACAAGAGACCAAGGTGATCACATTCAAATCCTTCCTACACCTCCTAATACCTCTCTTATCTCCCCGATTAACCCTCCTCACGTCTCTTTATCACCTCGCACCGCTAGGGCAACCGATTCGAGTACGTGGAACGCCATTCCTGGTCTCCTGAAACCATGCTCTAAACTATACGTAGGAGCTTTTAACGTACGAACACTTTGCCAAATAAGACAGCAGGCTTCCTTAGCTGAAACTTTAGAATCTTGCGCCATCGATGTGTGCTGCGTCTCCGAAACGCGCATACAGGATCCAAGTAGCGTTATTCATTTGACCTCACCATGCCAAAATAAAGAACCGACTCGATTCACACTTCGTGTATCTGGAAGCCCTGATTCTGATTCGATGGGCAGAACACTTTAGGGATCAGTTCAACTGGCCTTCAGCCACACTTCGGTTTCCCACGATCTCTAGTCAACCTGAATGGCAAGTTAATGTAGGTCCTCCGTCCCTTTACGAAGTTGAAAAAACCATAGGAAATCTGAAACGAGGGAGAGCAGCAGACCCTGACAGGTTTACTCCTGAGATTTTTAAGGATGGTGGTCCAGTATTAGCAATGAGATTAACCGAGGTCTTAGGTAGAATTTGGGAACTGGACGTAATCCCATCTGACTGGTCTCAATCACTGATTGTGCCAGTCTATAAGAAAGGACAAAAGTCCTCTTGTGACAATCACAGAGGAATCAGTTTGACCAATATAGTGTCTAAAATATTAACTTCAATAATATTTCGACGCCTAATCAAAGCTCGTGAAGAGCAGATTAGAGAAAACCAGGCCGGTTTTCGACCTGGACGTGGTTGTATAGATCAGAGATTCACACTACGTCAGGTTCTAGAACACAGACACACGTTCAGACGCCCCACAATGGTAGTATTTCTCGACCTAAAGGCGGCATTCGACTCTGTTGATCGTGAGGTTCTATGGCAGTGTTTGTCACTGAAAGGAGTACCAAAGAAGTACATTAACCTTATAAAGGCTCTCTACTCGAACACAACTGGTAGAGTGAGAGCTTATGGCGAACTGTCATCAGAATTGATTACCTCAAGTGGTGTTCGTCAGGACTGTACACTCTCCCCATTCTTGTTCAACTTTGTGGTCGACGTACTTTTAGAGATAACACTCTCCTCATCTAAATTTCCAGGGGTTGATCTTGTACCGGGAGGTTCACTTGTTGACTTAGAATATGCAGATGACATAGTTTTATTTGGTGAAGACGCTGACAAAATGCAGAATCTTCTGGCCACTATAAGCAACAATGCAAGCATGTTCGGGATGCGATTCTCTCCCTCGAAATGCAAAATGTTGCTTCAGGATTGGGTTACATCGACACCCGAACTAATGATAGGGAGTGAAGTAGTTGAGTGTGTCGACCGCTTCACTTATCTTGGAAGTCTCATCAGCCCTTGTGGTTTGGTGTGTGACGAAATCTCAGCACGGATACAGAAGGCTCGACTAGCTTTTGCCAACTTGCGTCATTTATGGCGTAGGCGAGATATCCGTCTATCAACCAATGGACGTGTTTACTGCGCAGCAGCTCGTTCCGTCCTACTTTATGGCAGTGAAACATGGCCGGTAAGAGTAGAGGATATCCGTAGGCTACTAGTATTTGATCATAGGTGTCTTCGAAACATTGCTCGTATATCATGGGACCATCGAGTAAGTAACACAGTTGTTAGGAAACGGGTACTAGGTAAGGATGGCAAGTCAATTGATGAAGTAGTGAAACTTCATCAGTTGAGATGGCTGGGACACGTGTTATGTATGCCCAACGACCGACTACCTCGATGTGCTATGTTCAGTGGTATAGGAGTAGGTTGGAAGAAAGCTAGGGGCGGCCAAACCAAAACATGGCACAAGTTCATGAAGTCACTGACAAGTGGACTGAGTCATGTTGGTAGGTGTAGACTACCTGGTTGGGTACCGCGAGATGATAGCAACCGATGGTTAGAGACCCTGAATGACATGGCTCAAAATCGCTTGCAATGGCGCAGGTGCATCCACTCTCTGTGTTCTCCCAAATTCTAATCTTCTGAATTCTTCATGTCCCTTTTTTCCTCTTTCTAAATTTATTTCACTGGATTATAGTCCTTGAATAACATCTCCAAACTCTAATCTTCCCGATTACTGCTTATACTCTTATTACCTCTACCACTACGGGATTTGAATCGACAACTGCATCTCTGTGCTAATGTGGTGTGGCAACTCGAACTGATGTACGTACGTACGAAGTTCTACGTTGTTACTGACTGACTGACTGACTGACTGACTGGTAACTAGGACAAATGCACATTTGTTCCAAGTCTTATGGTGATGATAACCAATGGAATGGCAATTTATCTATTAAGTTACTTGTTTTCAGGCACCCCAAGAAAGAGTATCCTTCCACGATGTAAGTAACCAAAAAGTGATAAGCGCCCCCACATTTTCAGAATCACTGAGTGAGATAGACGATTAAGCAGATCTAAATCCCAAGGGTTACACCAGTTTGCTAAAGATAGTGGAAACGTCGCCCCGATGAGTTCCAACTGGAGTGAAACCCGAGTTCAGGTTTTATTCCAGAAAAATACCAAACACAATACTTCATCAAAATAGTAAGCTTTCAGGATAGCTACCACTTCATCAATACGGAAAAGCAACGTTAAAATATGACAGTCCCAATAAGTGAAAAAGTGGTCACATAAATGCGAAGCGTTATCAACTCATAAAAAGTACATTTAAATGTTACGTGTCAACGAAAAAATCCAACCAGAAACAGCACGAACACGATACTCTTGCTACTCACCGTACCACAATATTTTATAAAGGCATCTATATACCATCATAACAAAAATGTAGATAGATCTACATGTTCAAAAGCTTACGGATTCCTTGACGGCAAGAAAGGCGTGACACATCCAACGGCGGGTAGCTCCATCGCGACATATATATGCGAATCCTTTCTCGTGATTTCTATCAGGAGCACAAAATGAAACTTTTTCAATTGTCTGATCGACGATGAGATGCTAAAACGAAACTAAATCCATAAAATTCCAAAGCACCTGGCTAACGTCATCTGAAACGCGTAGAGCATCACCACTGACAGATAAAACAGCTTTTTGAGGTTTCTTTGAAATACCATTGTATGTTAACCAAAGAAAATATGACAAACCTTTGATTTTCTTAGAGCTTTAATCGCTTCTTCACATACTTGCATTCCTCTTGACTCATAAACTTCAATATTCCCTAAATACTAAAATAACATGTAACATATAATATTTCGAACAAACCTTAACTTGGAAACTACAGAATCCCTCCTTGATTTTCACTTCATCATCTAGCCATTGTTGTGGTTTCGAAGAATCACCAGCCTCACTCTTATTCTGCTTTTTTCGTTTCCGAAAGCTGAATGTTCTTCTTAAACGATTCATCCCTGACTACTTAATTTGACGTGACTTGTACACATCGATGTAAGCCATTTAGTTTAGAAAATAATCTAAAGTGGACATTTGAGGGAAAAGAAATCAAAATAAGGTTTGGATGATTTTAACGCAATCTGTTTCAAAGAAAAATTACCGTAATATTTTGGCTCATTCATCAAAACGTTTTAAATACTCATGGGACACATTGGTCTTGCAAACGTTTTCTGTTGACGTTAGATATATGAAATTATATGAAAATAATGAAAAAAAACGATGGTTGAGCACTAGAAGTCGAAACTCAGTGAGACAAGAATTAATTGGGGAGCAACTGCACATGTTGTTGATATGTGTGTTTTCAGTGGGATTAACCTTTAGTATCTCTTAAATCTACTCGATCGTTACAGAATAGAAATGTGAGATTTATGAGTAGTTAAACGGCAGAAATTACGAAAAATTTACTTTGAGCAGTTCAGGAACTTCTAATTGTACAAAAAGAGGTCGCGGACCGAAAACAATTCTTTTACAAACAAGTGTTAGATGTAGTTTCTCCGGGCAATCTTCCTGCATATAAATCATCTACTTAACATCTTGGCAACATAAGTTGTTGTATTCATAGGTTACGAAATAAGGAACGTTCCGGATAGCTGTTCTTCGCCAGCGTATAGCCTGAGACGTATACGTACTGGACAATGTTACCACACAGTAGGATGATACTAAACAATTTCATCATCTACACATGACAAAAATGATATTAAATTAGGGCCTCATACAAAAGTGACAATGTTGTGAAGAAATGAGGTTGCGGAAGATTTGATTCAAACACATAAACATTGGTACAAAGAAGCACCAAATAGATATGCGCCATATAAATCATCCGATTTGTATGAGGGCTAGAATACTGCCTGGGCGCCCAACAGAAGAAAATGGTTTTCTTAGGGGGCCACACTTGGAGCCTTTGGTCTGAAGGTCTAATCCACAAGGCGGTGGAGAAACGTTAGGAGATTCAGCCCCATAGGAGCCTATAACCAACAATTGGTTCATACGCCATTTGTCCCCTCAGGAGCCCGGCGCTCATATGCACCACCAATTTGGAATCAGGGTTTTCCAACTCTCCCAGATGGACTCTCCATGTCCACCAACACGGTTAAGGCGCCAGAAATCCCCTACTCGTACTCTCAATTTCGTAAACATCACCTCACCGCAAGAAGGCGGTGAGTAGGACTTCCCTGGCAGTGGTTGTATGCACGTGGCCATGTGGCTGTATCAAGGCATTTGGGAGTTGTATAACAAAGTCTGTCAAAGTGCTGCGGCAGTATTTCGAAGGTCAAAAGTATATCCCGTACTTACTAATAACGAAAGCCAAATGATTAAGTGTTCCTTAGCCTGAGTATCATAGCACAGTTAAAGATTCACTGACATACCCGTCGAGAACTAGGCTTTAAATAAAATACACAACGCCACGCCTAAATCGTCATATCTCCTCTGGCATACATCCTACAGGATCCTATAGGTTTAAGTGTAGTTAAACCTACGAGACTAACTTTCACATTTACTGATTATCTTACCAGATACTGATACAAAGCCACTATCTACCCTTAATATTTAAGTGTCACTTAGAAACAAGGGTGTGAAATTAGACAGAACTATCATGGTAAATTAACCTGGTTCTGTACTTTGTAACTCCATACCCTGGAAATACTGTGACAAAATTAGCGCCTTGGCAATGACCTCCAAGAAGAACGACAAGCTACAGACTTTGTTTAACAGAAAGACGAACATTCCGGTTCACGACAATGCAAAGCGTTTGTTCTATTCCCTGAGTACCCAAGGGTCAAAATTTTCAGTAAATAGTGAAAGAATGATGGAAGAGTTACAACAGGGGTAACCTTTCGGAAACGCATGAACTTCTGTTTTTAACTATCAGACAGTCATTCAAATGGTTCAAATGGTTGTGGACGGAATAGAAGAAGCTTTCGCTTAACAGGCTTCCGTGTCTAGTAGCAGGGGATCACCAAATCCTCCAGGCAGGAACCTAGGTATGTTAACAATAAAAAAGGAAAAGAAATTGGTAAATCATAATGTGATGCTGTCCTTGGTCCTTAAGAATAGGTCAAGTTGCCTCTTGAAGGACTCCTGAGAAGTCGCTTGGACTAGCTCGGCCGGCAGCGAATTCCAGCTTTTGACAACTCTTAAGGAGTAGAAGTTGTGTCTACATTCCGTCTTGCTATGTTGTGTTTCCAGTTTCTGGGTGTTACCCCTTAGGTTATTATTCGAACTAAGCTTAAGTAGGTGTTTAAGAGGATGTCCAGAAGTGTTAAGAATGCTATAAGCCATTAGTAAATCACCTCTAAGACGCCTATATTCTAGTGGGTAAAGGTCTAGTGAACGGAGGCGTTCTTCGTAAGGCTTAGATTTGAGTCCTCGAACTGATTTCGTGGCTCGCCGTTGGATACGCTCCAAAGTGACTTTGTCCTTTTGGAGTGAGGGGGGAGTACTATGTTTCCGTACTCTAAATGGGGACGGATGAAACTATTGAAGATTGTATGGAAAGTTCGTCCGTCAAACTGGCCAAAAATGCGCTTCAACGTTACCAGTGCAAGGTTTGCTCGGAAGGCATTTTTGTCACAGTTAGCGTAAGACTTTAAGTCATGGGGCATCAGGACTCCTAAATCCTTTTCGACTTGGGATACTACTAGAGAGGAGTTTCCTAAGTTGTAACTGTAGTTTGCGACATGTCGCAGATGGACTACTTTACACTTTGAAGTGTTAAAGGTAAGTCCGTTATCGTCTGCCCAACTTTGAAGTCGCGTCAGATCCTCCTGAAGTGCCTGTGTATCGACTTGGTTGCGTATCTCTCTCCAAAGTTTCACGTCGTCGGCAAAAAGTAGTAAGTCTGACGTTACCTGTTGAGGAAGATCATTTATGTAGATCAAGAAGAGAAGAGGCCCTAGTACTGAGCCCTGGGGAACCCCACTAGGACATTCCATAGCCTGAGATAAAGTGAAATTAACCCTAACCTTAAAGTGTCGATTTTTTAGGTATGAAGTAAGCCAATCGATTAGAGGTGGTTTGATACCTAGTCGTTTGAGCTTGTTGATAAGACACAAGTGGTTAACCTTATCAAAAGCTTTTGAGAAATCAAGGTAAATAACGTCAACCTTTCCCTTGCAATCGAGGATGCTTGTCCATTTGTCCACCGCAGTCAGCAGGTTGGTTATACAAGAGTAACCCTTCCTGAAACCATGCTGTTGGGGTGAGAAGAAATTTAAGGACAGTAGATAGTCATTTAAACCGTCGCATATCAGGGACTCCATGAGTTTTGAAGGTAATGACAGAAGAGCCACCGGCCGATAACTTGAAGGTTCATTGCGTCGACCACCTTTGAAAATTGGTGTGATGTGAGCCAACTTCCAGTTTTCCGGTAATTTGCCTCGGCTAAGCGAGTGTGAAAACATCACGCTAAGCGGCGTTGCCAGGATTGAGGCTGCCTCCCTCAGTATGGCAGGATGAACCATATCCGGGCCAGGAGAAGTGTCAAGTCTTAAGTGCTGCAATTTCCGGAACACCAAGTCAGCGCTTAGGTCCACTTTAGACATGTATTATTGACAATTATTGTCGCTTGCTTTATTATTTAGTTTTAGTCGATTTTTTGGGCTTACTAAGTCGTCGCACCCTACGTTTTTTTCTCCCTTCACATTCCCCCGACACATAACGCACCTGCAGGCTAGATATCAACCTTTTGTAAACTGAAAAAATTTAGCATATCCTACCACCATCGCCCACTGAGTGGAACTTCATGATTTATTGTGTAGATGGTGCCTTAGGAACCAACTAAGATTGTTAAGATGAGAAAAAACGCTCTGTGACTAGAAGCCACTGCATCTATATCCTTTTTGTAAATATTTGTAACCACAACCGATTACCAACTTGTAGTTTATCCTTATCAAAAGAAGAACTAAAAGGAGTAGCGAATGAAGGCAAAATGGATGTTTACATTCTTCTTCAACTCCGAGTTGAATTTCATTCAAGCAAGAGGATTTGTATGATTTCAAGCGTCCTACATCCCTCTATTTTTGGGAAGGTCGAACTTCAGAACTCATGGTTCAAGCCAAAGTAGCCATCAGAGGCGGAATTGTATGTCCATCGTATTGATGGCGGTTTATTTTAGGCTAATTAGTTGCTCTAAACTTGTGTCGCGGTAGTAAAGATCAACCCAGAATTTTCGGTTACCTCCAACCCTGTTTGTTAGTCAGTATTGAGGATTAGATACTTTAGATTGATTCAGGTCATTTCTAAGAGCTGTGGACGGTCTGCAAGAAGTTTTTCAAGCCTTTTAGGAAGTACTAAGTTAGGACTTAGTGGGTGTCGTTTCAACCATCTCATACGGTGGTGAATTTCAAGATCTAACTACTTTAGAAATGAAGTTGTTCACCCAAAAGACACCAGCTTAAACACTCAAAGAAGGAAGGAGATTAATGCTTGTATATAACCATGCAGAACCCCGAAATTCTTTCGGTCACGCAAGAGTTCTACCCTAAGTTGAGTCTTTTACCCTTACTTTTGTCAGGGAAGTCACGTCTGTACACGACACTACTTCTCAACAAAAATGGCCGGTATTCTTCATACCTCATACAGTTTACTGTCGAATTTATTACACAGAGAGCCATACGTGACGCTATAGTCTGAATAAGTGTCATACTAACGAGTGTTATCACACATACAAACCAACTTATGGTAATTTTTTATTACCTACTTGCTGTAATCTAAACAATCAACCTCCTATGTAAAGGTGTGTGTCTGATAGGAAGCATGTCTGCGCCTCGGTCTTTGTCTAGCTCCCCATTAGTTGCAAACACAGACAATCGATAACCTATATATACCATTGATTGACACCCAAAAAATACATATAAATATTTCGACTTCTTATCGACATACACTCATTCAATTCTCAATGTGCTCTGCCTCTTGCGAGTTTGTAGATTTTGTCAATTATCAAAAATACACCCTCCTAACAACAGGTGTTCTGACTTTCGAATATTCCTGAGTAAGTTCACAGAACTACTGGGAGAATCGGCCTGCTAAATTACTGAGTTAACGGGATTAGGAATTAGCACCTATAATCTACACAATTTTTTACCCTCAAAACAGTTATGTAAGCAAATAAACCCCAAAACAATTAAATCTGTAAATCATCGACATTGATTTTAAACGTGTTATTCTTACTGGATACACCTTTAAGTGACAGCGCTCCACCATCAGGACCAGGTTGCATTTGGGTGCGCCTTGCTGTGCATTTCATATGATGATTATTTAGCTTATGTTCCATACATGATGGCACGTCGAACTTTAATCAAATAAACGTTCACATTTCATTAACCTTGACGCCCGGTTTTATTAGTTTTGGCATCATATCGTGAGAGGAAATCTCGAACAGTTTAGTTATCAGATTTTGTGTATCTGTGACATCTTCACTGACGAGCCCCAAAATGATCTGGCACACTGAACGATGTACCATGAGCCTGTTCATTGTTGTAATGTTACATATCTTCTCTATATTGTGACTTGTTCCTAACATTTACATATTTTCCCCACTTTATCCGAACACACACCACAGGCTGTATGAACTAAACTTTTCTCGTTCCCCATACTACAACTCATGCCATCCTGGATTGATAATATGGAGGTCTGATTCTGCTGTACAGGAACTAACTTCCAGTAACAAGACTGGAGTGGTCCACGCCCACAGTTTCTTGCAGTAAACAGTGCAATACCATGAAAGTCAAACATATCGCACCCAGTATGTTTACCGGTAGTATTCCAGAATCTGATGAGACCCTAAAATAGGTTGTGCATAAACCCCGAAGACGTAACCCACTGACAGAGATTAGATGAACGACTTCACAACATCAAACCATGACACGGCCCGGCAAAAGAAATTTTGTTCTCACTTAAATAATAAAAACGCAAGGTTTAGGAAAAGGATCTCTTTTCAGAGAATTCATTATCAAACTGTACAATCGTATATACGTGTGCAAATTTTTTGTCCATATTATTTCTGTCAGAATATATGAACAAATAATAAGCACAATGATGTAATAGAACAAGTGAAATACTTGATGATGTTGTGTAAATATTAATACTGATCTAGCACGCATGAACACATCTGTGCCCCACTCAGACATCATAGTCTCTCTACATGTCCAGACGAAAATGGACTTCAATTTCAGTTTGCCTTCTTTTTCCCAATTTGCAGTTGTATTAGTTTTATTTTCTCCCTATTTCTTCACTTGAGGTAAACAGGTAACTCACTAGACCTATCGATACTGCTCAACTAAACTCGGTCACTAAGGGACACTCACTACAACCCTAAAAAACCAAGAGAACCACACAAGCAACTGCCTTAATATTACAGTTAGAGAACAGTGTTATACCAACACGATAAAAAAATTTTGATTGTTGTTAAAAACAAACCTGACATGTTATTCATTGATTTAGTCATATTACTTGGCTAAACCAACTACCCTATAATCATTTTAAGCTACAGAAACACATCAGACTAGTTACCGCCAAGTGTCAACTTCTGTCAGTTCGGTGTCTTCTAAACTTAACTACTGACATAATTAATTAACTTCTGCATCATTGAAACTAATAATACGGTTTTAGTCATTTGAGGACTTTCGGTTAGTGCATGACGACCACATTTTTGTTTCACTTTTATCCCCTTCGCCTAGCAA